TTCGGTGATTCGGCCTGTTCGTGGCATCTGAGGGTCGCAGACCAACTTTAGTTGTCCTGGCTTAAGTCTAGTCGTTCCCAACATCCACCTTTAGCTGGATTGGCTGGACAGCTAAACATCCAATCAATCATGTTCATGGAAGTCTGGCGTTGAATTTCATCGTAATTGAAAATACGCGTGTTGGGCTCCAACGAAATTTGTTCCGTTGTCGCTTCTGATGCGGACTGGCACTCCACGGCGGTTGACAAAATTTCGAACACAAGTTAAAAATGCATCTGTAGAGAGGTCTACTGCAATATCAAGATGAATACCTCTAGCGGTAAGGCAGGTAAAAACGGAGATCCAACGCTTCTCACGGCGTCGACCAATAGCGATGAAAAAGTTGACCGCAATAATCGACTCCGGTATATGAGAATGGACGCCCGAATGACAAAAGACGATCTGACGGCAACTGACCCATCAAAGGCGTAATCGGGTTAGCAAACGTATGCAAATTGAACATATTTTTATTATAATTTTCAATACGACATACGCATGCAGCACCCAAAAGAGTTGACGCATTTCATTGATCATCAACCTGATGTTTTTGATAGTTTTTCGATGATAGTGGTCCAGGATGAGAAAGGCTAGATGATTACGTTGTGGCACAATAATTGAACGGCGTGTAGACACTGGTAGACAGTATGCGGCATCGATACGGTATTTAGGTTGCATGTAAAGCGTAGAATCTATGCTGCTACTAGTAGTAGTCGGGTATATGACGAAAACGTATTAAAACCAATGATTGCTGAACGATGTTGGACAATTAAAATTCTGTTGGTGCATTCATCTTCAACGTTTTTCGGTAATAATTGCTGTGGCCCCAAAGGCCACTTTTCTTCTTGGCATATAGAAAGGCGGGTCCTGTTGTATATAAGGAAACGGTACAGTGAATCGTAGATGATTTGACCTTTGTACCTTCATCAGCCATGTAAAGTGCTGATGGAACCTATCGCCATTGACATGGCGTAGAAGTGTCAAGAATGTCTGCCGTACGGGTTGAGACGAATTGCTTGAAGTCGCATGTTGTTGAACGGATCCACAGTAACACAGTTCGTGAATCGGTCCAAAACGTTACACTAGTGACATTTCGGTCAAGGCATTTTTCGACTGACAATCGAAGACGGTTACCTAAGATGGCGGCTTGCAACTTCAATCGTGGCACTGTTGTTATTCGTTTGGGAGCACATCTAGATTTGGCTAGTACAAAGGCAACTTGAGTATTATCGAGGTTTAACGTCCGTAGGTATATTACGGCGGCGTAGGCGGCTTCGCTTGCATCAGCGATACGTGCTGCTGAAGTCTCTTGGCTGAAGAGTAAGGTATCGAAAACTTGTGGACCTCTTGAAACATTCTCCACCAAGATCTCCAACTCGGTGCGAGTGGTTCTGACAAATAGTCGTCCCAGTCGATGTTTTGCCTCCAAGTGTCTTGCAATAACAGCTTCACTGGAATAGTAACATTGATGGCCATTGCTAGGCTTAAGAGCTCTCTTTTCATAGGTGACCTCTTACCCTCTGTGACTCCTTTTGGAATGTTCTAGAACCTAAAATGCAACTCGAGCGTGTCATTGGTTGAATTCCAATACATACCAAAGATTTTTGTCTGTTTTCGACTGATGTTACAAGATGATGACTTTGGACTTCATTGGAATGTTTTGGTTTAAATGTTGTTGTAGTTTCTTGCAGTTTGAAAAAGGGAGAACCCGGCGGTTAAGTTGATTCTACTACTTCACCAATTACATCTTTGCCTTCTGGCTTGTTATCGAAACTCAGCGCTAGATCGTCGACATACATGTTATCGGAAATAACTTTAACTCCTCTTGGATGTGTTTCAAGAAAACTTACAGCGTTGAGCTTTTTACGTTTTCTGTGTAGCATGGTGAGCAGGCGCATTGGGTCGTTTTGTTCTCCTGTTGGCGAAGCTTATGCACACATTCAGGTCCCTTCAATAAAAATTAGTTTAACGAGACATTCGAAACTATTGCTGCTTCATCGAAGACCCCACGAAGTTTATTTGGATTAACTAAATTTCCAAAATGTGGTAAGTACCAGGTAGTAGGACCGTCCTGGATGGCTTCAGATGCTGATAATAACCTGGCATACCTCTTGTGGATGTATTTTGATTAACGGCTTTATATGTAGTTGCATATTGGACGTCTTTTGACATTTTTACTTCTACGTTGACCAATCTTCATTTGGTCATGTAGTAGATGGTGCGAAAACGACATAGTCTTCGCGCCACAACAGACCTACTTCATAGCTCTGCGCTGACCAACATTTCGTATAGTTGATTACAGGATCTGATATTTTCATCGGATTCCAAAGGTTTGACTTGGGGTTTTCATATCCAGGCTTTCTATGGTGAAGTATTCTTCAACTAATTGATGAAGTTGCTTTGGTGTAGGATTCCAAAGGTTGGCTTGGGATTTTCACACTCAGGCTTTCTATGCCGAAGTATTCTTCAACCAGTTGATAAAGTTGCTTTAGTGTAGGTGACTTTCGAACATGCAGGCATTGGGCAGATGTACTGACTGAGGGTGCTGAACCATATGCTATCCATTTGGTAGCTACTGCGATTGGCTCATCAGGACCAACATGTAGTGGCATTTCAGTTATACGTACATAAGCTTATGAGCAATGACGGTTTGGCGGCGGCGAAATCGGCGATAGGCAAATCTTTAAAATGCTTGTATTGGTGGCGATGAAACGTTTGCACTGGAAAATCTAGCTCCTTTATGGTGTGGATATTTTTCAGCTGGTACCTTCTCTTTGAGCGTACTCGGCGGACGCCTAAGTTGAATACGCGCGAATTTTTTAGTTGTGTGATTTCGATTATGCGATTGTAGTGACAATGGTTCTATCCGACCCTTAACTCCGATTGCGTTGGTGACGGCTTCCTCCAACAGCGGCGGTGGCTGTACTATTGGTGGTAGTTGTGACGATATTCTTCCAAAAATTGAAGTTATAAGCGTCAGTTGCAAGTAGGACTGACCTACACTTACTAACAATAATGACTGTGACGTTGGCAGATGTGGCAACGAAATTTCGATCGGTATACACTAGTTCTCAACGGTGGGTGTGCTGACATAGGCGGCACTTGAACTGAAATAAAATTTCCTTTAACAGATGGCTACGCGAATGACAGTGACCAAAGCAAAGAAAATTGCTGCGCCGTCAAGAGCACTTTGTTTGTTATTCCTTGTAAATAAGATAGGTAAATAAGATAGACCAAATTCGCATTTGTAAAATTTATTTAATTCATTATTTTAAGTTTAGGTCTAAAATAAATGACCCATAGGAATATTAGACCACGAAAGTCGCGAGTAATAGGAAACCACGAGCAGCGCGAGTTTTATGTTGTGCTGCCGGATGATATTATGTGTGGGGTATAGGATGCGCCCACATATTCAGTGATGTTGGAATCTCTGGCACGTAGATTTCCTTTGTTATCAATTTACATTCTGTTTACTAAGTAACATACTGTTACGCTCAATTCTATTAATTAACAGCAAGTTGTACGAATCATGTGAGGAGTGTGGTACGATTACGTGAAATGAAGTAATCGTGCTTATTTACAATTTCCACTCTGATCCGTACTTGCACCTTCTCTATGTTATACGTTCTCTGCCTTTTTCAAGTCTTGCTTTCTAGTCTGCTAGTTCGTAGACGAGGAAGGTGAGAAGAAAGGGGAAGGGTACAGATACCTCGGTACAGCAAGTGTGCAAGCAAATTGATAACACAAAAGAGAATTCAAATTCATAATTGTTTGCAAGACTTGACGCATGTAAAAGAGGACTTTATAGCGCTTTTATATACCTAACGATTTCCCGCAAGTAACTTCTTTTCACTTCACATTCGTATTTGACATTTTCGCCACAGTTTGCTATGTAACCGTGATAAGCTTTAAATTTTTTTTCAAGAAATCAGAGTTTTCATTAGAGATATTTGAAAAAAAAAACTTGTAAGTAATGTCTAAAAAGGTATTTGTAATCAAAGTACCGTTAATAGTTATGTTTATGTACCAAAGCAGTGAAAATGATTATCAATAATTTTAACGATTTCCCTATTGTTACAATTTTCGGATCGCTACAAAAATTTAAAGATTTTAATATTCAGGCTCTGTGGCAGTCGGTATCTCTCTTTTTCTATGCTGAGATAAGGTGGGAAAACTTTATTATGGTGAACATGAACAATATTACAATTTTCTTTGCTAAGTGAAATTATAAATTTTGACATAAAGGCTGTGTGACAATCGGTATCTTTTTTTTCAATAGTGAGGTAAGGTGGGAAAAATTTACTATGATGTAAAAAATTGTACAATGTGCTGTGCCAAATAAAATTGTAAATTTTGACGTAAACAAAATGAAAACTCTTGAGGAAGTCGCATATAATTTTTAAACATTGGCAAAACATGAATGGAATACAAAGAAAATGTCTTTCTCAACTAATCTTTCCACCAATCTGAGAAGGTTAAATTGCCTTGAGGTCGTGAGAATCTCTAACGTAAAAATCAATCTATACAACAACGCTGGTCAATTGTTCTATCTGTCTTTGCTTAAGACATGACTCACAAATAAAGTTATTTTCTAACATTTTTTATGTCCAAATAGAATTCATGTTGCCAAATTTTAAATTAATAAATTATTCTATAAATTTGTTTCAATTACTTAACATGTATAATATATAATGGCGCTTTGAAACAGATGTCATGTATTTCGGCGGAGCCTACAGGTTATTCTAAGACGGCTTGGTCGATTTGGAAAGTTCGGTTTGTTCGCTTTGGAGTTTGTGGCTCGGTATTGACAATAATACTTTCATATTATATGTCATAACTGCTTGCATTGCATGTTCAACTTTAAACTTTGTGCTTCTAACTAATTACCCATAAAATGAATAAACGTAAACTCATGTTTATGAAAATTGTGTCATCTGGCAACATTAAAACAATGAACTCACTGAACGTACGTACTTAAAACAAGATGGTTCCCTCTCATTCTTTACATAGTGGTGCTTGTTGTATCGAATTTTCAAAGTCGTGGATGTTTTGAGAAATTAAATTTTTTCCGCCGAAAAGGAAAGAATATTAACAAAACAACATAAAAAGTAGGGAGAAATATTTAATATTATTTTATAATGCGACGAAGAAGTGAAAGGAAAAAATCTACTGACGTTTCGTCTCCAGCTCCGGTGTCTAGACGTACAAGTCGCAGATCACGTCAAATATCTGAGACATCGAGTGAAAAAGGCGCACAGTCGGAACTATCCCCCAGTGCTGATGTAGCTGAAAAGTGCATGACAAACGTGGATGTTCCGGAGGAAGTCAACAACGAAGAACCAACAGTAGACGCTGTAAAGAATCGTTCACGTAATCGAACACCGGTTAAAGACAGAAGCAGTCCGTTGAAGCGCAAAACTCAAAACATTACCATAGAACCAAAAATCGATGTTATACCTGAAGAAAATATCTCTGTGAAAGAAGACGGTGAAGTAGATAATAAAACAGAGAAGGAAATAAATGAAAACATAAAAGAGGCAGCTGAAGCTGTTACAGTTATAAACGAAGCTTCCACCTCCTCGAGCCCTAAAAATAATGTTGACATCAACAAACCCGTGGATGTTTTGGAGATTCAAGCAGAAGATCACGATGAAGATAAAATGCAGTCTCAAGAAGCATCAAACAAAAATAAAATTGTGGAAGAAGAAATAATTAACACAGAAAATAAAAAAAGAGACGAAGAGTCCCCAAATAACGAATTAAGGAATGATAATGAAAAGGATCTTCCATTGCAAGAGAAGTCTGTTTCAACGACGCCCAAGGATGAGCTTTCAATTATCGATGAAAAGACGGATGCAAATGTAAGCAAACGTAAGTGGGTAACAAAGAGGACAGTACAAAATCGTAGTCCTCTACTGGTTATAACCACAGAAACATTAAAAACATCTATATCTGATGATTCGCTTCCTGTTACTACGCCTGTTCTGGGAAAATCACCTGAGATACAGGAAGTAAATTCAGAACGGGAAGAGGGTGAACAAACTCCGTCGCCAGAAAGAGAAAGTCGCAGAAATAGTACCAATAATAATAATAATAATGCTGACAAAACAGTCATCCGTAATCAAATTGACAAAAACTCAGCACCAAGAACGATTACCAAATTAAATATAAAAGTAGAACATCGTTCTCCCAGTCCCAAAAATAAAAAGGCCAGTAATGTACTCTTTATAACCAATCTTGTGAGACCGTTTACGGTTTTACAATTGAAAGGGTTATTAGCACGTACTGGTAAATTAGTTGAGGATGGTTTTTGGATAGATCGCATAAAATCCAAGTGCTATGTTCAATATGAAACAGAGGAGTATGTATTTCATGAAATATTTGATATGATTGAACACAATTTTGATTAATTTTTTTTAATTTAGTGAAGCGATTGAGACACGACACGCATTACATGGCGTTCGTTGGCCAGTTTCAAATCCAAAATGTTTAATTGTGGAATTTGCAAAAAGGAACGACATGGATAGGGCTATTCAATCTACAAAAGATGAACAGACTAATTTCGGCCAGGAAAATCATAGAGAAAATATACTAATCGGTATGGGATGGAACAGGGATCGAAACGGCATGGATGAAAAGAGGGTAAGTGTTATATTTGTACTCTATTTAATAAAATGTGTAACTCTGAGTAAGGTTATAGAAATTCTCTACGGGAATAACTAACAACTAAATTTCTTTTTATTAATTTCTTGAAAATTAAAATAAGGTATTGTGGCCAGAAAGCTAATCTCCCAAATACCAAATCATAGCCATTGAAAATGATAGAATATTTGAAAATAGAAAAGCTTTGCTTAAGCTTAAATTTTGTAACTGTAACTATTCTTAACTTTCATATATGTATATTTTATACCAATATATTTTGAAAAAGAAATTGACTGAAAAGAAATTAAAAACTTTCTCCAGTAAAATAGACTTTGGCTTCAAGTCTGTTTTGCCCGCTCCGCTCGATATAGGTTTTCTTCCCTTAAAATAAATAAATTCTTGTTTTCCCAGAACTTCTATATTGATATTGATTAGATAGCATCGAATTTCGAAAATCGGATTCTTGAGAAAGCAGATCTCAAGCCGATTTAACAACATTGCGCCATTCGTTTCTTCTTTTTTGCTGTTTGGCGCCAATCGGAAATGCCAGGTCCTTCTCTCCTTGGTCTTTCCAACGGAGTGGAGGTATTCCTCTTCCTTTGCTTCCACTGCATCTGGAGTACTCGCATCCATCCGGCTCCCATGACCTAGCCAGCGTAGCCGCTGCTTCTTGATTCGCTGAACTATATCAATGTCGCCGTATAACTCGTACTGCTCATCGTTCCATCGCAGTCGGCTCGGAGAGCTCCTTCCCAAGTCTTAGTGCGCTTCTGGTGTTATCTAGCGTCAGCTTACACAGTCGTATAAGTTTTGCGGGGATACCAAATTCAGACATAGCGGCGTAAATACAGCTCCTATTCGTGCTGTCGAAGGTAGCTTTAAAATCGACGAAGAAGTGGTATGTTTCGATCCACTTTTTACAGGTCTATTCCAAGATTTGGCGCATAGTGAATATATAGTCAATGGTTGAGTTACCAGATCTAAAGCTACACTGGCAAGGTGCAATTAGTTTGTTGACGGTGGGCTTAAGTCTTTCACATAATACGCTCGACAGGACCTTATAGGCGATATTTAGGAGGCTTATTCCATGGTAATTGGCGCAGGCTGTGGGATCCCCTGATTTATGGATTGGGCAAAGCACACTTAAATTCCAATCGTCGGCATGCTTTCGTCCGACAATATTCTGCAAAGGAGCTGATGCATGCACCTTGTCAGCTCTTCATCGCCATGTTTGAATAGTTCTGCCGGTAGGCCGTCAGCTTTGTTGTTTTTTAGTCGGGCGATTGCTGTTCGAACTGCTTCATGGTCAGGTAATGGAACGTCTTTTCCATCATCATCGATTGGAGTTTCGGGTTGACCATATCTGGATTCTCCATTTTCACTACAATGGAGAAGGGTTCCCTCGTTAGGCGGACTGTTTTCTATCCACTCTAATAGTTTCGTTTGCAGCTGTGCTGGTGAGTGCTCTCAGAGGCGCATGTGTATTTTCGCTGCAACAAGATAATGGTCCGAGTCGACGTTGCGTCCTCGGAGTGTACGCACGTCAAGAAGACTATAGACATGTCTTCCGTCTATCACAACATGATCGATCTGGTTTTGTGCTCTTCGATCAGGAGACAGCCAAGTAGCTTGGTGTACTTTTTTGTGCTGGAATCTAGTACTACAGACAGCCATATTTCTGGCCGCGGCGAAGTTGATCAGCCTCAACCCATTCGGGGATGTTTTGTTGCGAACCTAACTCAAAATTATCATAACACATATTGTAAAAATAATTTATACTGCAAAGACAACTTTCACAGGAAGGCCAAGCGGAGGGTTGCTTGAAATACTACTTTTCTGTTGTTGAGAAATCCTTCTTTCTAACCTCTCGGGCTCTGGCTAGTACCACTTTCAAATATTATCTGTCATGTGCCCAGCTCGTAAAGGGAATAATGTCCCACCCCGCCGCCAACTTCCACCAATGTGAGGTTACAAATAGCGAGCCATGAAAGTAGAGAAAAAGAACTTCTCGTTTGGCTCATCCAAGATTTATTCGATCTGCAAATTATTAGTAAATTCGACATGGTGTCGTGGCCGTGTTGATCATCCTAACAATTCCCGATATGTGGCACATCAGCAATTCACGTTATAAACACCCACATAGTACATGACCCTAACCATAATCGGTCGCCAAAATCGCTAGCCGGCAGCTCCTGGGGTAAAGATAAAGAAACCTTGTTCTCAACTTACACTGTAATCCCGCCAGCCGGCCGGCCGGTTGTTAATAACGCTGCACCAAATTGGATGCCGAGACTAGGAAGAGGCAGATGAAGAAGTTACACGTCTTTCAAAACACAGCCCAGTGAAACATCTATGTTCCCAGCTAAGGAGCTTAATGTTATGCTGGGTAAGCAACTCCGCTGAACGGGCCTTGAGCGCCATTCTCAGATAATCTCTCAACATCTTTATAAACTCTATTCTACTGCATACATTGACTACCCGCACTATATTCCCTTTGGCCCGAGCCAATCGTACATCTTGTTCCCTGCCCCTCTTTTTAGATGACTTTGACGACTTAGAATGAATTAGGTTAAGCAAACTGTTATAACCACAACTACAACAACATTTTTGTGTAAAGTACCACCATTCGAAAAAAAATGGGTAAACACTTTTTTATTTTAAATAATAGGATCAATCGGAGAGTTTTGCGTAGGGGAAAATATATTTTTCCTTACTAAAGTAGCCTAATTGAATGAGAAAGATTTAGGCGTGTTAAATGCTGATGTTTACAAAAAAATTTTGAAGCCGAAAAAAAATTCCTCAAAGTAGTGACAAACCGGTATAAAGATCCGACTGACGTGGGAACTGTTGGATTTTAGTCTCCTCTTACGACAGGAATGCCTTACTCTGGAAAATTTCAATTAAATTAAAATTCTTTTAACATTTACTCTTTCTAACATAAATATACATACAGTATTGAACTTAAGTATTGGCACAGCAAGGTAGTTCAACTTTAATACCTTTTTTGACCACTTATGAAAATATTGTTAATTCCGAAAGCAATTCAATTCCTTTTATTATATGTTATGTTAAATTAATACTAATTAATATTAATACTAATTTATAGATCTAGCACCTTTTTTTTTCCAAAGTCCCGTTATGTCTACATAAGCAATTGCCCCAGTGTAATTTTCAGAAAAATTAGTGACAAAGAAGTGAAACTAACGTATCTCAGCGGAAAATAATTTTATACAAGGCAAATCATTTGTAGAAAATGGTGAAATGGTGGACAGAAGCCGCTACACCATAAGAAGCATTGTGAAATGATCTTTACAAAACGCAATACGTACAGGCAGACCTAAGGCTGCAACTACCCATTTTACTTACCAGCCGGCCATAACAGGCGACGTCAAGAGCGATATACATACACGAGCGGCGAAATGTTGCCAGTTGCCAGTGTGTTTGCACACTTTTGAACAAATATTTAATTTTCGTCAACAACTTTCATAATTTATGTGTTCGAATATAAGCGCAAATAAAATATACATGATCTATATGGTAATGCTGCAACTACTCAACTCACGTACCCGACGTCAATAGTAACGTAACTTATAAGAGCGCCATGTAAATACAAAGTTGTCACCGCTTGCCCATACCGTAAGTGACGGTTGTCCCGCAGAAACCAATGGTGATTTGATTTTTTCCGTAAAACCGGCTCGGCTCATTTTTCGTTGCTATGCAAGGTTGCCAGTATGTCTTTCTTAAAGTAACATTAAATAATCGAAGAAAATGCGTAGTTTTGTTCAAAAGAAATGAAAACTAAATGCGTAACTAATTATTTGTTACCATATAGATCATGAATATTTATGTATTTAAGCATATAAATTATGAAATTTGTTGACGAAAATTATGAATTTCTTCAAAAGTGTGCAAACACACTGGCAGCTGGCAACATTTCGCCGCTTTCAGCAGCGTCAATAACTCGTGTATGTATTCCGCCTTGACGTCGCCAGTTATGGACGGCCGGTATGTGAGTTGGGTAGTTGCAGCATAAGGCAAATAGTAAGAAACTATGGAATATTTGGGAAAGGATATACATCCGATAACGGCGCGGAGAGAATTGCATGAAGCTAACTTTCATTTTTGTGTAGCTAGACGCAAAACCCGAGTTACTAAAGTGAACTAAAAGAAACGTTTAGCATATGCTAAGGAGTACTTATGCAAACCAATTGTCTTTTGGTACAATGTACTCTTCTCGGATGAAAGTAAATTCAATATCTTGCAATCTGACAGCCGTCAAACTGTGTGGAGAAAATCTAGCACTGAAATCAAAAAGAGAACCTTTCTGCCACTATAAAACATGGTGGTGGGGGAGTCATTATATTGGGCTACATGTCCGCTGCAGGTGTGGGCGAGCTCGAGTTCATTGATGGTATTATGGACAAAAAATACTATATGGAAATTCTTAAGAGGAATGTCAAAAGAAGTGCCCAAAAAATTAAATTTCCAGAGGCATTTACGTTTCAGCACGATAATGGGCCGACGCATACCGCTCATGATGTGCGTATGTGGTTTGCACACCACATTAAACATACACTGCGGCATCCGCCCAAATCGCGTGATCTATCCCAATTGAACATTTGTGGGAAAAGCTGGATAGGTGCGGCGCTGTATCAACAAAATTAGAGTTGAAGCTGGCACTGGCAAAAGCGTTTGGAACCTGTCATCAAACATAAAGTCTTGGCTTCAAAATATTAATTTAGTTAAAGTATGAATATAATTTTTTTTGTTTTTATGAAGTGTGCCAATACTTTTCTTTGGTGAAATTTTTTTTTGTGTGAAGTGAAAATAGTTGAAAATGTGTCCGTCTGGCATTTTTTTTTAGGAATTAAAAATATTTTGAAAAGTGGTCAAAAAAAAAAGAGGTGTTAAAGTTGAACTATCATATATTGCTGTGCCAATACTTTGGTTCATCACTGTGTGTACATGTTTGTGATATTTATTACTTTTTCTATACAATTTATTAGGAATTTATTAACATATGAAATTAGTATTAATATTTATTCTCATACGATGCGCACGTTTTCTTTCATTTTAATTTAATGTTTTTCTTTAAAAACCTTAAATTCATTGCTAGACAAAAACGAACTTTGGGTTACTAGCGGCTTGTAATATATTTCAGACATTAAGACCAGTTCGTGAATGGGATGTTGGAAAAAAAGAAAGTTTAGATCGGGAAAAGAATAGAGATATTCAAAAACGACGCAGCAGGGAGAGGGAAGTAATTTTCGGTAATCGGGAACACGATCGTAATGGTAAGGAGCGCAGACCGCGATCAAAAGGAAGAGCAGAGGCTAGAAGTAGTAGCCGATCACCAGGTATGATTATTGATATTGTTGTTATGACAAATAAAAATTAAATTAACAATTTACAGCACGGAAAGTAAAGAAAAAGGAAAATGACCCACCTCTAAGACTTCTAGATGACCTATTTCGCAAAACTAAGAGTACACCATGTATTTATTGGCTACCATTAACACCCGAACAAGTCAGTATAACATATTTTTCCAAATGAGTTAATATTGACAATAAAATTAATTTTTTTTTGTTTCAGATAGCTGAAAAAGAGGCAATTCGACAAAAAAGACTCGAGGAGCATAAACAGCGTATTAAGCAAAGGGAGATAGAAAAAGGTAAAGAAAGGGAAAAAGAGCGGAATCGAACCAATGACCGCAGGGATAGAGAAAGAGAAAGGGATCAAAGACGCAATCGATCGAGTGATCGTCGTTCACGTAGTCGCGATCGACGCCGCTACTAAAAATTATTGGTATTGTATAACCAAATTATCATTAGGACGTCGTTGCATTTGAAATTTATTGTTTTTCAAATCCATGCAGAATGCGTGATTATGAAAACAAAAAGTAAATTTCATTTAGCATCGTTCTTAAATTAAACTAGAATATGGCTAAAATTTCTAGCAAACAGAAATCGTTTCCGGTTACCCGAGCCAACCTTTGGTGTAGAAACTTGCTTTTTTTTCTTACATAATTACTACATATATAAATAATTAGAAGAATTTAAATTCAGAACCGAAATTCATCGCCAAAGCAATTTTCAAAGGTCCATCATTTTTCGTGGATAAAAAGGTTTAGTTTTTTTCTATCTTTTTTTTTTTTATAATTCCTTCTCTTGTTATTTTCAATTACTTTAACAAATTATTTATCATTTATTTCATTTTCATTATATTTGAAAAACACAAATATTACTTATTTTCTCATACTTGAAAAAAAGTTTAGATTGAGTAACCGATTTGTTACAAAGCTGCTAAACAAGTCTTTAGGAAACTATCTGATTTCGTAAAGCCAAACAATTAAAACCCTATTAAAACCCTTTCTGGAAAACTTTCAAGGGGAAATGCAAAGCAACTCAGTTGAAATCAACAAGTGTCACCGCGCACTCGGACTCTAATTCAGCAGTAATAGTGGTACTTGACCACAAAGTTCTTAACTCAAATTCAATGATAATATTTGAATAAATAAAGGCAATAAGATCTTTTAACAAAAAATTGTTTTAATATATAGAAAAAAGGAAAATATAGTGAAGTGCGTTTCAGAAGCACAAGACATCAGCTTCGTTTTGAATATTTTAACCACTAATTATAACAGCCGCGGCTGCGGTAGCCGAGCGGTTAGCATTGCTTACTACCATTCGGAAGGCCACGGTTTAAGTTGTCGTTCGACCGACATCCAAAAGTTAAAGTTATTTTCTGTTGCGATCACCCCTGGGCTGCGAGTGTCAACCCCTCTAAGTGTATTTCTGACATGAAATAAAGGCTCCCGAAAATCGCTTCAGACGCACTACATATATTGTAGCATACTTTCAAATACAACTACACGACTAATTATATATTTTTCATATTTAAGCCAAGGTGAGTTCCAAAACGTCAGTTGCAAAGCAATTATACATTGTCATGTTTTTAAACATGTTCAGGGGTGTCACAGCAACAGATTGTTGTCGGAATCGGAATTGAAACCGACAAAATTCAGCTGAAGGGGTTACATATTCCGATTATTGGTTTGCATATCGCTTTCATTTTCGAAATGGAATTTGTGTCGTTTTTAGGTGCTACAGAAACCGATTTATTATTCCGACATTTAGAATTAAACCTATCGGTTAATCGTTGACAGAATTGTGTGCAAATTTCTTTGCAAGCGGAAATTTAATAAAAATGTAAGTCATGAACAACAGATTTTACATCCAGCAATGCCTGGAATACGGTAATTTATGAAAAATGGTCAAGAGCTCTGTTTTCCTTTGTCATTCATTCTTAAAATTATTCAGCGTGGGCAATTAAATCGTTCTAAAAGCCTTTATCATCGCGAGTACTTGCATTAATCACGGTGTATGAACCTTTCCCTACAGTCCGCATCAAAGCGTATTTTTTAACATATTGCTATTCCACTCCCCGACCAAAGAGAAGGAGGACGTGATCAAGGATATCTTTCCTGAACGCCTGGAGCGTACTCATTAGGGTTGCCCTTTCGACAATGTAAATATCGTGTTTGTCGTCTTTAACAACAGGGTTTTCAAAGACGATATTTTCTGCTCAAGAAAATTAGTCCCCACATCCCCAAATGGGTTGAGGTTTACCGACTTCGCTGGAGCGAAATATAAATGTCTTTAGTAAACGATTCCAATACAAGAAAATTCACGAAGCGACTTGGCTATCCCTTGATCGAAAAACTCCAAACCAGATCGATCATGTTGCGATAGACAGAAGACATATCTCCAGTGTTCATAACGTTCGTACCTGCCTTTGTACATCAAAGAACGCCCGTCACGAAACACAAGAAAGATTCGACGTTGAAAGCTGCAATCACAACAGACTGCCGAGCGGCTTTCTACTCGACTTGCCGTCGTGCTCTTTGAGAACACTCATCAGCAACTCGGTATAAGAGCACTTTGGGAAGGAATTTCAAGCTTCTTGCATATAGCTGCAAAACGTAACTATGGGATTTCAGAGAGTGAGTATGAAGAGCTTGAGCAGTTGTTCGAAAAGGGTGAAAAGATAAGGGCACTTACAGAATGTTTCAATATGGTATTTCCAATTAGTGCCAATCAGCGAAGCAATTAATTGTGCAATGTTGTTAAATGGGCTATATAGCGTAAGCGGTGTCTACGCCAGTAAAGAAGAATATATTAACTGAAACTCATAGAACGTATTCGATTATCTTTTAATGCTTTAATATTCATTAAAAGAGCTTTATTCTTTCCTTTAAATGCAACATTTCTGTTTTTCACAGTCGTCGCTTTCAGTGGTGAGATTCCTTAACATATTAGTTCCGTACGGTGACCTTATGGGTAGTAGCAATTGGTGTGAGGCGAAAACCCAGTAAAACAAGTAACCAGAGAGCGCAATTTCGGCGTTGAATATGGAAGAGAAGTTGCAAATTCGTGCTGAGAAAATTTCAGGAAAAATTAGCTGATTTGTGATAATATAGTTCAGACTCTTCAGACAGCCGGTACTACGCACCGGAGTTGACCCGGTTTTTATTAGGCTAAAGGCTGTCACCCTTTCAGCTACCTAACCCCGTTTAGATCCACAGGTAACATTAATCTAAGTGCACCAACGGAGCAATACCTCGCAGCTGGGCTGCTCCAAATCATTCTCATCAGGGCTGGCATCGAAACCATTTCTGGTCCGACGGATTATTTCTGCTGCGTGTGCCAAAAGTACTCCAACGGTTTAGGTTATCGGTTAGTTGCATCCTGTGTAATGGTTGGAGTCAGCTTAAGGTCTGCTCAGGCCTTAAGGCCACAAGTTGCGCGGCACCATGCTGCCAGCGGCCTAGTGCGGCTCCAGCCTACGCGGCAGTGCCTTCAGCACCTCTACCCACTTTAGGTAACTAACAGACCTCTACGGTCTAACGGAGCTCACCGCAGCATGACTCCCACCATCCCCATCCTTATACACAACCAGCTCCTCTTCCTCCTCCCGTGCGAGAGCTATTCAGCAGGACCTAGTCTCCTCCACAGTGAGTTCCTCAGTGAGAACACAACCTCAGTCAGATGTAACTCTTGCTCTGACTTGTGCCATTTTCGGACGTGCTCTGGTATACACACCACCCGTAACTGGAGTGATACGTCGTTGCTCCATGCTGTAGGAGTCTGCCCATGCCTGTATCTACAACAACGGGGCCGACCAACATCAATGTGCGGTCGGGTAGTACAGCAACAACAACCTACATCCACACATCACTCCCTCACCCCCCGTACCACGAACTTCTCTCCGAAACAGATATGACTGTTACAGTTTAACAGCAACGACCTTCAGGGGAAGATCGACGAGGTAAATGACTACAAGAACCGGGAGAACCTGTCAATCGCTGCGATCCAGGAAACGAAGTTGACCGCCCGCTCGGCTCTTCTAAGCCTGGCGGGATACTATCCTAGAATGTTAGGGCATAGCTATCCGGTCAGGCTATGCCGAGCTGGATATATTTAATATATAAATTCCTCCTGTCACAAGATGTTCTGTTCGATACAGCCCTGATATAGGTGCGCTACTCAGAGGCGAAATCCGTTTGGGTTTGGGCGACTTTAAGGCGCACCACGATCTTTGGCATTCTAGCCTGTCATGTGATCGTAGAGGAATGGATACAGTGTAGCAGATAGACGATTCGAAATTTGGCACAATGAACGATAACACCCCCACCATAGATGTGGGTAATTCTATAGTATAGTTTAGCGACCTATACTGACATTAGCATCGGTTCACTTACCCATAGAAATCTCGATTGACAGACCTCCCGACTTTGTTTCTGCGGACCACCGGACATTTGTTAACTTTGAAAAAGCTAACTGACTCACCCCACACCATCAGACGTCACTTCTGGTTAGCGTTTATTCAGATTCTGACTTAACAACCATAAGTGGAAAAAGTGGGAGGAGCACTCAAGGTTCTGCAATGAAATTTCTCCTCTGCGGCAACCAAGCTCTGGGCTACAGACAAGACGCAATGACCGAAACAGAAAGTTCATGAGAGCTGCGCGAGCTATTTTAGTCGACTTTTTACATTGCATCCTTCGGTAGACAAAACGAAGCGACAACTAACCCACCGCCTGCGCAAACTGCCAAACACCACCAATAAGTATTCTAATGGTAAAAAATCAGCGGGAGCAGACTTCTTCACCAAGGTTCTAAATTAGTCTTTGACCACCCTAATGATACCCGACGTGTGGAAAATGGGTCCCGCTACTCAAGGCGTGGAAACCAGCCAACAAAGGAGAGTCTTATTGGCCGATAACTCTCATCTCCCCAGTAACGAAGACACTTGAGTCCTTGCTGCTTCCAACTTTCAATCACTATCTGTGTCCAACAGCACATCAGCACGGCTTCCGTAGAGTGCACAGTGCCACAACAGCACTAAACGAAATAAACACTCAGATAGTCAAAGGCCTTAACCAAAAACAACCCTGCGCGCGAACTGTCCTGGTAGCATTAAACATGTCAAAAGCTTTTGAAACAGTCAATCATTCAGTAGTACCATCAACGTTCTATGGTAAAATTTCGAAATGAAATATTGAAGCTAAAGAAAATTAAACAAGGGGTTCCGCAGGGTGGTGTCCCCTCCCACTATTATTTAACTCTCGTCCACCAGAAGGAGTTTAAATGACTTCGTATGCCGATGATTGGACGATATTGGCGTCTGGCCAGAATATTGTTCGAAGGTGAAATGCTGTCTCACTGACCTGTCCCACTTCTTCACTGCAAGACAGCTTAAAATACAGCCGACTAAATACTCGGCTACCCTCTTTATCAGCTGGACAAAGGAAGGTCTATTCTGTCGACGTATTAAGTAAATTTAAGTAAATTTTTTTACCATTTCTCTGTCATCTTGTAAGTTTTAACAAACAATCTGCTGTTTGAGAAAAAATAAAAACCAAAATGAATTGGTATATTTTACATCTAGAATTCATTGAAGATGAAGAAAAAAGTGCCAAAGGCGCATGTTAATAAGTTTGCGAGAAAAAATTACTCCTTTAGTTTGGAAGATGGGGTCTTCATTTATGTTTTAGTCAAATTTAAATCACTAGAAAGCAGTGTCCACCAAACGAGCCGCAATTCATTAGGAATCAATAATGTTGCCACGGTCTCAATGATGATAATTCATTTTTAAGCCTCCTGAAGAACATAAATCTATAATTATGTTCAGTTAATATTTGTGGCTTATTACTTACTTACTTTACTGATGAAGCCGATTTAACAACATTGGGCCATTCGTTTCTTCTGTTTATGGTTTGGCGCCAATTGGAAATACCAAGTACAGCCAGATCCTTCTCTACCTGGTCCTTCCAACGGAGTGGAAATCTTCCTCTTCCTTTACCTCCACCGGCGGGTACTGCATTCGTATCCATCCGGACCACATGACATAGCCAGCGTAGCCGCTGCTTCTTAATTCGCTGAACTATGTCAATGTCGCCGTATAACTCGTACAGCTTATCGTTCCATCGTCTGCGATATTCGCCGTTGCCAGCGCGCAAAGGACCATAAATCTTACGCAAAACCTTTCTCTCGAAAACTCCTAACGCAGTCTCATCAGATGTTGTCATCGTCCATGCTTCCGCATAAAATAGCAGGACGGGAACGATAAGGGACTTGCAGTGTTTGGTTTTCGTTCGCTGGGCGAGGACTTTACTTTTCAATCACTTACTCATTCCAAAGTAGCACCTGTTGGCAAGAGTGATTCTGCACTGAATTTCAAAGCTGATGTTACTATTGGTGTTAATGCTGGTTCCTAGATAGACGAAATTATCTACGACTTCAAAGTTATGACTGTCAACAGTGACGTGGGAACCAAGACGCGAATGCGATGACTGTTTGTTTGATGACAGGAGATATTTCGCCTTGTCCTCGTTCACTACCAGACCCATTCGCTTCGCTTCTCTATCAAGCCTGAGAAAAGGAGAACTACGGTACGGTTGTTGAGGCCGATAACGTCAATATCATTTGCGGTCGCCATTATCCTTCCCGATTCTGATTGCGCTTCTGGTGTTGCTAGCGTAAGCTTACACATCCGCATAAGTTTTGCGGGGATACCAAATTCAGACATAGCGGCATAGAGGCAGCCCCTATTCGTGTTTTCGAAGGCGGCTTTAAAATCGACGAAGAGGTGGTGGGTGTAGATCCTCTTTTCACGGTCTTTTCCAAGATTTGGCACATGGTCAATGGTCTGGTCAACGGTTGATTTACCATGGCTGAAGCAACCCTGATTATGTCCAGCCATTTGATAACGGTTGGCTTTAGGTTCTCGCAGAATACGGTCGACAGGACCTTATAGTCGATATTAAGGATTATTATTCCATGGGAATTGGTGCTGACTGTGGGATCCCCTTTACTATGGATTGTGCAGAGCACAATTAAATTCCAATCGTTGGGCATGCTTTCGTCCGACAATATTCTGCAAAGTAGCTGATGCATGCAACTTATCAGCTCTTGTTCGCCATGTTTGAACAGTTCTGCCGGTAGGCCGTCAGCTCCCGCCGCTTTGTTGTTTTTTAATCAGGTAATGGAACGTCTTTTCCATCGTCATCGATAGGGGTCTCGGGCTCACCATCTCCGGATTCTCCATTGTCACTACAATTCAGTAGGTTAGAGAAGTGTTCCCTCCATAAATTCAGGATACTCTGAGAAACGGTGGCTAGATCACCTCTTTGTGTCCTACAAGAGTCTGCTCCGGTCTTGAAACCTTGCGTAAGTCGTCGTATTTTCTCATAGAATTTTCGAGCATTACGCTTGTCGGCTAGCCTCTCAAGATATTCATACTCACGCATCTCGGCCTCTTTTTTTTGTCTGCAGATGCGACAGCCAAGTAGCTTGATGTATTTTTTTGTGCTGGAATCTAGTACTACAGACAACCATATTTCGGACGCCGGCGAAGTCGATCAGCCTCAACCCATTAGAGAATGTTTCGTTCTGAAGGCTGAATTTTCCTATAGTTGTGCCGAAGATACCTTCTTTGCCCACCCTGGCATTAAAATCGCCAAGAACGATTTGCACATCGTGTCGGAGGCAGCGCTCATAAAAGGCGTATTTGCCCAAATCGTTCTTCTTTCTGTTTGTTCTCTTCTGTACAACAAAGAAAAAATGGTAGAAGTGGGAGCTGTCTCGGAGATCACCACATCTCCTCATCAGACTTCTTATGCCAGGGATTGAACCAACGGATCCTGACTTAACAGGCGAGTGTTATACCACTGCGCCAACATCAGCCATATAATCTGTTGTTCTATTATTCAATTCATTATTAACCAACAACTATTAAGTGCGCTAATTTAGCCGCTATTTTCTTAACAGCTTGGTTAGTGTGTTGTGTTGGAATCCTCTATACTTTCAGGCGTTAATTGACTGATTGTATAGGCAGGATTATGTATCAGGTTCAACTTTTATATTTATAATTTTGTTTTTGCGGCCATACTATAAATTAAATTTATTAAGTAAACTACGAGGCCTTGTTGTTTGTATGAATTGAATATTTGTTATACAACAAAGAAAAATGGTAGAAGTGACAGCTTTGCCAGCTGGCAAATGTAATTTGACAAGGACGAAAATGCAGGACTGCCAAAGTTTTTTTAAACATTGTAACCTGTGCGTTAGAATACTAAATATCAGGTGTTAAAAAAAATAACGAAGTTCATTTTACCGGTAATAACATGAAGCATACAGATAAGCATTTGCATCTGACAAGGGAAAGCGTCTGCGTTATGCAAAGCTCAAAAATTTTTACTTGAAGAACAGCCATTGAATTTGAAACTACATTCACGTTCAAACCCACCAGTTTACTGTTAGCACTGTTTCATACATCGTTAATGTATTATGCTACCTGGGTTGTTTGTGAGGTATGAAGTTCTTATTGCATCATTCCGATGGTCCATCTGATGAGCCGGCTTTGAGAGTCGTTGAAGGAAAAGTTTTGCGGAAGAATTATGGTGTTTTCTGTAATGGCGAACGCGAATGCCGCAGCCAATGGTAGGATGAACTGCACGAGATATGAGGCGACATTTGCATAATTCAGCAAATCAAGCGACAGCTGCTACGCTTTTTAAATAATGATGTCCGTATGAATGAGAACATTCCAGCATTTGAGAGTATTCTATGCAGCTTCCAACGATAGAAGCTGAGGGAGAGAAAGACCATCACTCCGTTGGAATGATGACATAGGGAAGTACTGGAGCGCTGTGCTTAATTCGACTATAATCGCGTAAGCGGTGTCTACACCAACAAATAAGAAGAAGAGTATTCTAAATTTGAAGTTGGGAGCTCTTGGTTTGAAGTTTACAAATCATCTTATTTATTTTCAAAGGCGCAGTTCAGACGTTAGCAACAGCGCGCGTGTCCTTTCCTCTTTTCGCTGTTTTCCGTCATTTAGAGACACAAAATGCAGCCAGGTGACAGGAGGTTAGATCTTCTTAAGGCACTTCCACCGATGACTACTACATCGAATACTTTAAGAGTTGAAGTGTTCTGAATCATTTGGATGACATGACTTAACTAACGTAGCCATTATCCTTTGATTCGCAAAACTTTGTCAATGTTGCCATATATATTGTCTTGTCGTCTTCGTGAAATCTATGTTATCGAATAGTCATATACAAATGCCTTCATTCTATCTGTTCCTCTGACGCTGTTAACCTGTTCGCAAAAGTGACACCTGCAGTTAATTTACGTCATTTGGCTACGATCTGAGGCCAGCACGTGTCAACAAGCTTTACGTAAAAAGTACACACCAACAACACCCTTGTGGACAACCTTATAAGTACTCAGATAACTTATATCGATAACCAAAATCTACCCTATGTTGGAACTCTCCCAGTAACAATGGCAGTAAGACTTCAAGGTCTAGGTCAAAACTCAATGTTACGAAGAATAAAGCACTGACCAACTCCTGCCGAAAAGACTAAGAAATATTTCTCGGAGCTTACTCGGCAATCCGTCGCTGGCCATTAATTACACCGATTTTAGTTCTGGGGACTAGCGAGAAGTAGCTGAAAACATCCCATTGTCACCAATCCAGAGTAAGAAATATATATTACCAATATCTATCAAAATGTCTCCGTAGGAATCAACCTTGTAGACATCTACTGAAAGTCAAACCACATCTAGGCACATTTGAAAAGGAGTAATATCCTAAAATATTCCTTTCAGAACTATATAAGAAAACAACCAGGCAGGATGAACTGAAATTCAACAACCATCCACGGCAGGAAATAGCTCGATACCAGATAAAGAGGAAAAAGTAACAATTTCCATTCGTTTCAGTCACCATCAAGGTTTCGTGCAAAAGTGAAAATCGGTAGGTGATATATACAAAACAATAAGCTCTGACATTTTTTTACGATATTACTTAATACGGCTGCAGGATTTTATTCAGCAAGTTGATAATTTTTTCATTATTGGAATAGTGTCTCCCCGCCTTAAATACTTGCCATGTGAAAGAATGAGTGTCATAATTTTGACAGATGCCGCTTGTCGTTCCGTCGTAGCCCAAGTATTAATGCTTAAATGACTTAAATCAATGATGATCATCTTTGGTTAAATTGCCAAACTGGTGCAATCATTTGATAAGAGTCATCAAAATTAATTTAAAATTGTAAATATGTGGAGTGATACGATTCTGATAGTTTTCATTTCTATTTGCACTGCTCTTTTGGGGGAAGGTTTGGCAAAATCTAGTCAAATTAATTAATTTGTATGTCATTAATTCGTTAATAAATGTAAAATTGTAGGTCTTACTTGGGTATTGGTTTACCGAACTGAAAAATACCAGAAGCTTAAAGGAGAAGTTGAGAAACAGAGTAAAAAATGTAAGTGAATTTTGAGCTTTTTGATGGAATAATTGATAGGTTGGTCTTTTTAAAAACTAAAACTATCGTTTTGATTTAAGGAAATACTGAAACATAATATCTTACTTATACATATACATACATTATACATACTTATTTGGCAACATAATATGGTTTATTAATGAAAATAAAAAAAGTTATAATAAATGTTCAATATAATATCTTTATAGTGGAGCGACGCAAAGAAATTCATGGAGAATCGCTTGATAAATCGCAGAAGAAAAAAATTGAGCGGGATGAAGAGAAACTGAAAAACAATAATCGGGATTTATCGTTGGTAAAAATGAAATCTATGTTTGCGACTGGTTTTGCTTTCACTGCACTTCTCAGCATGTTCAACAGCATGTAAGTTTTTTCTAAAAATAATTAATCGTAACAATAGTTATTTACGCAATAATTTTATGACAGCTTTGATGGACGCGTCGTAGCGCAGCTACCTTTCACTCCCATCTCGTGGATACAGGGCTTGAGTCACAGGAATTTATCTGGCGATGATTATACGGATTGCTCATTTATCTTTCTCTATATTCTCTGCACAATGTCAATTAGGCAAAATATACAAAAGCTATTGGGATTCGCACCCTCCCGAGCAGCAAGTAAACAAGGTGGTGGCCTGTTTGGACCCACGCCAGGACAGTTTAAATGAGAATATATATACAAATTTTATGTAAATTACACTAAAAATTTAATAGAATTATGTAGTTTTTAATAAAAATAAGCTACACAAAAATAGTATCTTGTACCGTGTACTTCTACAATAATGAATAACTTGTGGTATATCAGCATCAGAACAAATGCAATATATTTTTAGTCACATCATCGTTGCATGCAGGTTCATATTACATAAATGAGTATTCATACATTGGTCTATCTACGATAAGTCGGTCAAAACCTATTCTGGTTAAGTCTATAGTTCGAAATTGTCCGTCAATTATTATTTCAGAAATTGCTCTTCCAACAGCAGGTGACTGCTGTAAACCCAAACCGGAGAATCCAGTCGCAATATACAAATTATTGTAATACGGATGTGTTCCAATAATACCATTTTCATCATAAACATTGTATTCATAAGAAGCTTCCAAAGACTCGGTAACGGTAGCATTTTGTAGTACATTCAACCTACGTGTCAGATTCGGAAGAATAGTATTTTCAAAAATTCTCTCTTTTAATTCCTTATTACTTTTCATATTGGTACCGAATCCTGCAATGTAGTTACCAGTTAGGCCATCCCTTCGGAAATACATGCCATTCCAATCAGCCACGCAAGGCGTTCCAAGTCCTGGCATGTTAATGTCGTCACTTTTGAAGGTGTAACTAAAATTTTCGCGACGTGCAATCGGTAATGGTACTTGCAAAATTCCAGGACCGGTACCAATGTTTGCCATTCTGGCAATTTGTTCGGAATTAGAACCAGTAGCAAGTACGCATATCGCAAATTTAATCGTTCGAGTTTCTCCATCACTCATTTCAACAACGGCTTTGTCCAATGCACTGTACGGAGTTTCTGTAGTTGCACCTTCCATGATTACATCTGGTTGATTTTGAAACTCAAAGCCAACCAACTCAGATTTTATAAAATGTACACCATATTCTTTGGCTTTATTTCTTAAACCTAATACTAACATATCTGCATCAAACCATCCATGTTTTTCAAGACCTTGACACCCTAAAAATAATTACATATAAGTGATATGTAGTTCAAAATTTAACAACAATTGACAAACCGATCGCAACATCTTCAACGTTTAACCATGGATATTTTAATTTTAACCGCTCAGCCGTTAGAATTTCAGTGCGCGCACCGAATTCATTTTGTAGCTTTGACATCTTATTAAGTAACTCGGCATTCTCTTCTGAAGCCAAAGTAAGAAAACCCTGCGGGTCAAAGTTTATATCAACTCCCAGTTCATCTTTTGAATTCCTCATAAATTCAGCACCATAAAGTGACATTTCGATATTTTCAGGCAAAAAAAATTGTTGACGCAATCCTCCTACGGGCATTGTTGAAAATGCTCTCCCATTTGATATCTGCTGAAAGAATGTGTTTTACGTTACATTTATACATACATATACAAAATAATATTTTGCATACTGGTGAATTGCGTTCAATAACAACAATATTAAGACCTTGTCTCGCTTTTTTCTTTAGCCAATAAGCTGCAGAAGATCCTATGCTGCCTCCGCCAATTATAAGAACATCACAATGTGTTTGGAATTCGCTACTGTCTAACGAGGTCGAGTCATGATCCTTTTCTCTCTTAATATCAATATTGTTTTCACTAGTGGGTGTGAAAAATTGTTTTACTTTTTTCATATCATTCCTAAGAAGTTTTAATGTACGTTTAATTGGATGTGGATGATTCGTATTATCGTCGCTAAAACATCTAATGAAGCCAGGCCGATATAGCTTATTCATTTTTAATGTGTATGATATAGCTGTACTTTTAATCATGATGCAAATTTCTTTCAGTAAATATGGTGCGCAGTGTAACAAAAATTATGAACTTATTAAGGTTAAAGATTTAATCAAAACAGAGAATTCAGGTCGACGACCGTCATAATTAAAAACAGCTGAGATCATCTGTTTTTACAGCTAAGCATGATGAAAGCGATCATCAACCGACTAATATCGAGCCCTACAAGCTACATGTGCGAATAGCTTTGATAAATAAATTGAAATCTTTGTAAAGAAAAAATATTTGATACGGATAAATGTAAAAGTTTAAAGTGTCATTAACAGGCCTATTCTCACTGTTACTGGTAAAGTAAATTTTGTTACTTTTCTTTAACACCCGAAATTGAATTTGGTATTCTGGCGAACTAATTACAATGTTTAAAGAAAATTTGGCAGCACTGCTTTTTTCGTCCATTTCAAATTACACTTGCCAGTTGATAAAGTAAAAAGAAAAATATTCACATGGAAATTTAAGACGGTGCACAAAAAAATTAAAAAGTTGTATTAATTTGTTAATTAAATCATAAATATTTGAACCTAATCCTGAAAAATATGCCTACCCATTGTGGTTTTTATTTTTTCTCAAACTTACAACACAAAATCAAACAGCAGACATTTCTGTTACCTCCTGTTTCGCAGGTAACAAAATTTACTGAATGGTAAATTTTAATATCTAGGTAAATTTTGTTACCTCGACAGAATAGGCCTAATAGTAGGTAATTTACATGAGATTTATTATATTTCATTCATTTTGGGCACGAATTAGATACTTTTGAAATTAAAATTATATAGCTACATACATGTGCAAAATAATAAAATTATAAATAGCAAAATTACTTTTAATTGCTTAAATTAAAAGTATTTGCATAATTTGATTGATGTCCTAATAAAACTAAAGGCTGACATGGACGAGTCAAGGACGAAAGTGAGTAGGATCTCTATGACATTTACTACAGCGGCCATATAAAGGATCGTAAATTCGGTATTAGATTCGCATTAAAGGGAAATTTTTCAAAACAACATGCCAACAACAATGAAACATCCCCAAGTGGGTTGTGGCTGATTCAGTACTCGATTCCAGCATAAGGAACTTTATCAATATTCTTATTTGTCGTAAAACCCAAACCAGATCGATCATGTTGCGATAGACGGAGACATGTCTCCAGTGCTCTTGACGTGCGTACACTCCGAAGACCTAACATCGACTCGGAGTCTAAAAGCTGTTACCACAATAGACAGCCAAACGGTTTTCTATTTGACTTGCACTCCTGCTCTCAGAGAGCACTGATCAAAAACTCGGTAAAGAAAACTATGATGCGTAATTTCAAGCCCACTACGTACATCTTCAAACGAAATAATTGGTTATTGAAAAGGTCGCAAATGGTACAAAGTGGATTGTCGTGCAGTAGTGAAGAGAAAGCAGGCTACATACCACGCAACGTTGCGAGGATGGGATGGAGCTAAAGAGGGAACCAAGACGCATTTGCAGCAAAAAAGAAAGAGGCCAGACTGCTTGAGTATGAAGAGATTGAGAAGCTGGCCGATAGGGAGCACTTCTCCAGCCTGCTGAATGGTAGTGAAAATGAAACACGCGGAGATGGTGGACGTTACAATGCCCGACTATGTTAAGATTCGAATAGCGATTTTTCGCTAAAAGATCAGCAAATCGGCTGGAGCTGACGGTCTACCGGCAAAGTTATTTAAGCGTGGCGGTGAAAAGCTGTCAAAATCGATTTATCTGCAAAACTCGTTTAAAATCTCAATTAATTACCAACTTTAACGTGTGTACGATTCGCAGATTCCGCAACAAGAAAAAATAAATAATTAAATAGTTGTCAAAATATTGAATCAATCAATCAGAAAAGAGTATGGGATGTCTACCAAATGTTTTCATAAAAAAATAAAATTTTTAGCTGCTTTTTAAATATTTATTCTAAAATAATACTTGTTTTTACAGAGAAGCATTATCGTTTTTCAGTAAGAGAGCGTTTTTGTCAAGAGGGAGCGAAAAAGCTGTTTACTTATCCAACATTTAATTATTGAATCATGGATTTTTACAATGCCTTTTATGTTGCTTCTTATTTTGAACTGATTGTAGCTGTCTTAAATTTTAAATGAATAAAGGCCATCAATTTTCAAACCGAAATCTACAATATTTACATATATATGTATATGCATGCAAACATACATATGTGTATGTTCAATCGAATGTAAAAATATATATAAGAAATAGATAAATAAACGTGTCTTTCTTTACACATTTCAGAAATATTGAAAAGCGTGAAGCAAATGAAAAATTGCGAGTAAGAAATAATGCGGAATAGAGAAAGAAATGAAGAAGAAATAAATGTTAAAAAAATTGCTTTAAGAAAGTGTCTCTGTGTGAACATGAAGGGTGACACAAAAAACTCAGCCTAATGATGTGGCTTCGCAACTGCATCATTACAATGCAACCCTGCGTTCTATAAATTTGCCTTGCAAGAATACCTTGCAAACTCTAGCATTTCGGAACGCTTTTCGTGCAAAGCAGTTGCTTTCCGGTGAAATTGCTAGAATATGAAACAGATAAAGAATAGAAAGATAAGTAATATAATGTTTCAAAAAAATACTTAGCGCAAAATACTTGCTCTACGACGTCGGTCGTTATGTCACGAATTTATGATAAAATAAAGCATCACAAGCCTTAGGGTTTAGCGAAGTTTTTATTTTGTTTGTCTAGCAATAAATTTATCGATGCATTATGAAACATGACACATCGACAAAGTTTTCACAGTTGCATTGAGTAATGCGTGACAATGTATGGTTGCTTTGCAACTGATGGTTTGGAGTCACGCTAAGCATACTTAACCTTAGGTATGCTTACAGTTATGAATAAATTTTAATTATTCTCGTTTTTTTTTTTGCCAATTTATTATCTTCAAGCCCATGTTTTAGTGGTTTTTGATTTCAAAAGTGGTATTATGAAAGTGACACCTCACAGCATTGGTCTATTTTTAGAGATCGTTGAACTTTTTCACGCCTATATATTTTCGCATTTGACAACAACACAACTCATATGACATTTCCACGACAGCCCAATTACGTGTTTCACTCTCTCAATTACGAGTGCGAGTTCCCCCATTCACACGGCACGCAATTTGACTGTTTTCGTTTCCGCTCGTTTGTACCTTTTGAAAATGCAAGGAAAATTAAAGATTTTAGTTGAAATTAACAAAATCTTGAATTGAAATGGTAATGTAATCCCTTTTTTCATACATTTTTTTTCTGTAATGTACAAGTAGTGGGTTTCAAATAATTGCTGCGTATTAGTGTTTTCGTTTATGATTTTCATCTCTTTGTTTTGATTTGCCAGCTGGTTTCGATAAAACTTCGAAAAGAATTAGAGAAGACATCGATTTGGTTGTAATTCGCATGGCATTTACTGTAATTCGCTCAAAAATATTTGTATGGCGAATTGAATATTTCGGCATGGAGTGCGGATTACGATTGTGAGAGCGAAGCACGTAATTTGGCTGTCGTGGAAATGACGTATAACATTCTTCCTTATGAATATTGTGAGATTACGTTGTTAGTCGGATTTATTATCCGTTCATGCGGACACATTATAATAATCAGTAAAGTGTGGCAATATTGCTAAAAGTTTTGTGGACATTTATTTTATATCTGAAACTTTGCATTACTCGACAATTTTTGGTTAACCGTGAATTTCTGTGTTGGTTTTATAAGCTGGTTCATAATTAAAAAATAAAGGAAAATGACAAATAGTGTGGAAACTACAGGACAAGATGTGGAAATGGAGGTTGAAACAACTACGGAAAATGTCGGAGACCCGAAAAAAGATCAAGGTGTTTCAACAATCTTGGAAATACGGGAACAAATTCGACAAATTGAGAGGGCAGTGGCGTCAAAAGAATCTAGGTAAAAGAAAAATACACTGTTTTAATTAGAAAAAATAATCGATTCTTGTTTTTTTTTTTAGATTCATTTTAAGGGTCCTTCGCTCTCTTCCAAACACACGTCGCAAATTGAGCACTGTAGTTTTTCGAAATATTGCCCAATCAATATATCCATCTGGTACCGATCGTGACAATGCTGTAGGTTTGATACCTAGTACTCCAGTGGGAGTGATTGAGATTGATATACCAAGAAGCCGATCCGCTTCAAAGTCTCCAATAGCGGAAGTAGATGCATATTTTTATTTGCTTTTATTAGTAAAATTAATTGATGAGGGCGACATAAAACGCGCAGCTGTTTGTTCCGAGTCACTTATGAGTAAAATTGCCGGTCAAAATCGTCGTACATTGGATTTGATTGGTGCTAAATCTTACTTCTATTATTCACGTGTTGCGGAGCTTAATAACTGCCTCGAAACCATTCGAGGAACACTCCACGCTCGCTTACGAACAGCGACTTTAAGAAATGATTTCGAAGGACAAGCAGTTCTAATTAATTGTTTGCTTCGAAATTATTTACATTATTCTCTTTATGATCAGGCTGATAAGCTTGTGAAGAAGTCCGTGTTCCCAGTTTCAGCCAGCAACAATGAATGGGCAAGGTTTTTATATTATTTAGGTCGTATAAAAGCCGCGAAACTTGAATATAGCGATGCTCATAAGCATTTGGTTCAAGCTTTGAGAAAGGCACCACAGAATGCTGCTGTGGGTTTTAGACAAACTGTTCAGAAATTAATTATTGTTGTCGAATTGCTGTTGGGTAACATTCCCGAGAGGCAAGTTTTTAGACAAGCAGCGTTGCGAAAATCACTAGCTCCATATTTTCAACTCACACAAGCCGTACGCTTGGGTAACTTGAAAAGATTTGGTGAAGTCGTGCAAAATTATGGACCGAAATTCCAATTGGATCATACCTACACTCTGATTATTCGTTTGAGGCACAACGTAATAAAAACCGCAATACGTTCTATTGGACTTTCCTATTCACGTATATCTCCAAATGATATTGCAAAACGGTTAATGTTAGATTCAGCCGAAGATGCTGAATTTGTTGTAGCTAAAGCAATTCGGGATGGTGTTATAGAGGCTACTCTTGATCCAGAACAGAATTATATGAGAAGCAAAGAGAGTACAGATATATATAGTACTCGAGAACCGCAGTTGGCTTTCCACGAGCGTATTACCTTTTGTCTTGATTTACATAATCAGAGTGTGAAAGCAATGCGTTACCCTCCTAAATCCTACGGCAAAGATCTTGAAAGTGCCGAAGAGCGACGGGAGCGTGAGCAACAAGACTTGGAGTTGGCTAAGGAAATGGCAGAGGACGATGAGGATGGTTTTTAAAAAGAAGGCTTGGCTGCAAAAAGATTAATTGTGAGAGCGATCTAAATATATTAATGTATTATGAGTCAATATCAATAAACTCCTTTTTCTTTGTAACAAGTCTTTATAATTTAAGAAAAAAGTGACATAATTTGAGAAAAAAGAAGTGACTACATTACGGTGGCTGGACGCATTACTTTCCTCTTGGACAGAAAAAAATTATTTGCGTTCGAATGTTCTGAATGTTATTTTTTTGGTGATTTTTATAATAGGAATGGTGAATATGTAATATTTTGAAGCGTTTGAAGGGTAAATTGAATTGAAGGGTATATTCTTTACTTTAGCCGAGATTACCGAAACTATATTATTCAAACATATATCTATCATTCGACGCTATACGTTAGTAAAAGCAATAGGCGCTTTTGATAAAATTTTAAATATAGAATAACCGTTAAGTAATTAAGTAGAATATCAACTCTTCGCGGAAAAATTAAATCGTGGGCGTGGTCCGCCCCATTTTCTTGAATTCAAGGGTATGTAACATTTTGTTATGCAATGCATCTATAGTCCAAAATCTACGGGAAAGTCGAATTATACGAAATGAATTGGCAATAACTTGGAAGATAAAATAAAGTACGCCGAAATTGCAAATAGCATGAATTGATAGTTTAGAAATCCCCTTGATTTATCCAGGTTCGAATTTAAATTCGAAATAGCCATAATGAAGCCAACGACAACAGCTGTTGAGTTGCAACTGTGCGATCCTCATGACAGCCGGTTCTACACATTAGAGTTGATCCAGATTTAATCCGGCCTCCCGGCTAACCCTGTTTAGGTCCACTGGTAAAGTTAATATAAGGTCACCAATGGAGCAGCACCTCGCATCTGGGCTGCTACAAATTCTTGTTATCAGGGCCGGCGTCGAAACCAGCCCAACGGTCCGGCATATTATTTTTGTTGATGGTGCAGTAAAAGACTTCACCACTCCTTCATCTCAGTTAGATGTAACCAGAGCATTCGTTGGAATGATCTTAAGGTCTGTTCAGGCCTTAAGGTACATAGGGAGTGGTTCATAAATTACGTGGCCCCATCCTGCCAGTGCTCAAATCCCAATCTTAACGGCAGAGTTTTCAGATCCTTACCAACTCAGGGTAACCAACCACAGACCTCTACCGTCGCACCGGGCTTCCACCGATTTAACAACATTGCGCCATTTCTTTTTGCTGTTTGGCGCCAATTGGAAATACCAAGTACAGCCAGGTCTTTCTCTACCTAGTCTTTCCAACAGAGTGGAGGTCTTCCTCTTCCTCTGCTCCCACCGGCGGGTACTGCATCGTAAACTTTCAAAGCAGGTGTATTCGCATCCATCCGGACCACATGACCTAGCCAGCGTAGCCGCTGCTTCTTGATTCGCTGAACTATATCAATGCCGCCGTATAACTCGCACAGCTCATCGTTCCATCTTCTGCGATATTCGCCGTTGCCAATGCGCAAAGGACCATAAATCTTACGCAAAACCATTCTCTCGAAAAATCCTAACGCCGACTCATCAGAGTTTGTTATTGTCAATGCTTTCTCGCCATATAGCAGGACGGGAACGATGAGGGACTTATAGAGTTTGGGTTTCGATCGTCGGGAGAGGACTTTACTTTTCAATTGCCTACTCAGTCCAAAGTAGCGCCTGTTGGCAAGAATGATTCTGCGTTGGATTTCAAGGCTGAAATAATTGTTGGTGTTGATGCTGGTTCCTAGGCAGACGAAATTATCTACGACTTCAAAATTATGACTGTCAACAGTGACGTGGGAGCCAAGTCGCGAATTCGATGACTATTTGTTTGATGACAGGAGATATTTCGTCTTGTCCTCGTTCATTACCAGACCCATTCGCATCGCTTCTTCAACAAGCCTGGAGAAAGCAGAACTAACGGCGCGGTTGTTGAGGCCGATAATGTCATTAACATCGGCGAACGCCAGTAGTTGTACACTCTTATAGAAGATTGTACCTTCTCTATTCAGCTCTGCAGCTATTATTATTCTCTCCAGTATCACATTGAAGAAATCACACGACAAGGAGTCACCCTGTCTGAAGCCTCGCTTGGTATCAAACGGCTCGGAGATGTCCTTCCCAATTCCGACTGCGCTTCTGGTGTTGTCTAGCCTCAGCTTACACAGTCGTATAAGTTTTGCGGGGATACCATATTCAGACAAAGGGGCATAGAGACAACCCCTATTCGTGATGTCGAAGGCGGCTTTAAAAACGACGAAGAGGTGGTGTGTGTCGATCCTCTTTTCACGGGTCATTTCCAAGATTTGGCGCATGTTGAATATCTGGTCAATGGTTGGCTTTAGATTCTCACACAATACGGTCGACAGGACCTTATAGTCGATATGAAGGATTCTTATCCCACGGTAATTGGCGCTGACTATGGGATCCCCTTTACTATGGATTGTGCAGAGCACAATTAAATTCCAATCGTTGGGCATGCTTTCGTCCGACCACATTCTGCAAAGTAGCTGATGCATGCAACTTGTCAGCTCTTCTCCGCTATGTTTGAGTAGCTCTGCCGGTAGGCCGTCAGCTCCCGCAGCATTGTTGTTTTTAACCGGCAATTGCTATTCGAACTTCTTCATGGTCAGGTAATGGAACATCTTTTACATCGTCATCGATTGGGGTTTCTCTCCGGATTCTCCATATTCACTACTATTTAGCAGGTTTGGAGAAATGTTCCCTCCATAAATTCAACATACTCTGGGCATCGGTGGCTAGAACACCTCTTTGTGTCCTACAAGAGTCTGCTCCGGTCTTGAAAACTTCTGTAAGTCGTCCTACCTTCTCGTAGAATTTTCGAGCATTACCTTGTCGGCCAGCCGACGCATCTCGGCCTTTTTCTTTTTTTGTCGGCAGATGCGTATTGCTTCCCTCTTCGTCTCTCGGTATCTATCCCATCTCGCACGTGTTGTGGTCGATCGCAAGGTTGCGAGGTAGGCAGTCTGTTTTCTTTCCACTGCGACGCGGCAGTCCTCATCGTACCAGCTATTTTTGCGACCTTTACGAAATCCAATAGTTTCATTCGCAGCTGTACGTAGGGAACTTGAAATGCCGTCCCACAGTTCCCGTATACCGAGTTGCTGATGCGTGCTCTCAGAGAGCAGGAGTACAAGTCGAGTAGAAAATCGTTCGGCAGTCTGTTGTGCGTTGCGTTTATCTAAAACAACGCCGCCATAAAACCAAGATGCGGCATAGAATCCAGCGGGTATTACATCAACAATACACAACACCCACTCATCTCTCCTCATCCTCCGTATTACGAACGCCTCTCGGAGATAGACACGACACCAGAGTTAGATCGACCAGATAGTCGATTACATGAGTTCAGAGCACCTGTCAATTACGGCGACTCAGGAAACGAAGTTGACAGTGAGTATCGCATTGTCCGGTGAGGCGATGCTGATCTTGATCCTCCATTTAATACATACATTCCTCCTGTTACAAGTTGCCAATTGGATGTAGCTGTGATATAGGTGCGGTACTCAGAGACGAGACCCCTTTAGTTTTGGGCGACTTTAATGCGCATCACAATCTTTGGCATTCTAGCCTGTCAAATTACCGTATAGGAATGGAGCTGCCGTAACAGATAGATGATTCGACATTGTGCAAATCTCGCCACGCAACAATTGCGAGCGCTGGTCTGATAAACAGTATAGCCTGGCGACCTATACTGAACCTAAAATCGGCTTCCCGTCTTTTTCCCCGCGGACTACCGTCAATGTTCATCGTCACTTTCATCGCTTCGGCCTTGTTTAGGTGTTGTACAGAATAGCAATGCAGACGAAACGTTCTGAATTGAGAAAACGTGGGGAACCTGTGCACGGGAAACTTTTTATTTTAGGAAATTCATATGTGGAGTAATTATTTTTTTCCTTTATTGTTATATTCCTGATATTTGAATCAAATATTCAAGCTTTCAAGTTTGATTGAATCAATAAAACCAGTTGTGAATGAAAAAATGGAATACGAGTTGTTCTTTTTAACCTCAGTAGATGAAGAAGAAAGCAAAAACTTAAATGTTCATCGTAAACTGTAGCGGTCTTCGAATACCATCAATTTCGCAACAGATTTTTTAAGGGAAGTCATTACTATCTGCTTGTAAGCTCCTCCGCCTCATTTTTATCTTCAACTTTAAGTTTGAAAATAAAATATTTAAAATGATGAAACAGGAAAGATTTGAATTTTTTTCATGTTTTAAAAATACCATCGCACTACCGGACAGGTCCTACCGTATGGCAATAACTTTCCTTTCCTCTTTTAAATTGTATTGGAAACCCCAAGCTAAAAGTAGCTTATTTTCCAATTAAGTCAGAAGAATCTCAAATTGAGCGCTTGTCGTTAGCAGCCTTAATTTCTACTTCTTCGGTTACGTTGAAATATCGTCCGAACATTTTTTTTGTATAATGTTTTATTGAATCTTTCCATTCATGAAGGATATATGTGGAGCGCATATTTTTCTTTAATCGCTTGGGTAGTTCTGCTGTAATAATTTTTTAGCTAGAAAGTTTGGGTGGTTAGATAACCTTAATGAGTAATTTATAAGCAGTTGCTCTATTTCCTCGCTGGCGGTTTTAATCCCGAGATCGTTGTGAATTGTGGAGTTTTTTACATACCAAGGGGCTTTGCATAGTGGTCGTAAGGTTTTAGACTGCAGTCTTTGAATTTTATCTAGGCTAGATTTAGATGCTGAGCCCCAAATTTGGATCCCGTACGTCCAAGATGGCTTTATCAGTTTGGACTTAGAGCCTACAATCTAGTGCAAATTCGCAATTTTCAATTTGTTTTTTCCAGGTGAGTCTTTTATCCAATGTAACTCCCAGGTAGGTAACGAGGCATTGTATTACCATTTATAGAGATTGAAGAACATGTGTCTTTTTTGAGGGTAAATGTTACTTGTAAACGCTTAGACTCATTGACTTTAATTCTCCAAGTTGTTAGCCACTCTTCTATTATTTATAAATGTTGCTGTAATCTGTAACTGGGTGTCATGAGGTTTGAATTGACACTAAGTATTGCTGTATCATCCCCAAAAGTTGATGTGACGAGGTTTCGGTTTGTGGGAAGATCG